ACACACACACAAACACTTATATATCACATGGTTTCAATGAACTCGTGTTCAATGGAAATCATCACATGAATTTTTTACTTTTGGCCTTGTTGTTGAACTATTCTGTTGTCATGTGATGTAGCCACAATGATCACATGATGTACAAGGTCAAAAACATTATCATCGTCATCATATGACTGTTGCCATCATCATCATATTCGGTGAAGGTCAAATGATAATATTTACAGAACAGAATTCATTTCAAGAATCAATATATACCCTACACTAATAGTATCATCATTATCATTAACGAATTACAATTCAAATTCTTCTCTCTCTCTCTCTCTCTCTCTCTCTCTCTCTCTCTCTCTCTCTCTCCCCTCCAATTTTTTCTCTCTCTCCTTNNTGTGTGTGGGTGAAAAGTTCATTGAAATGTTAGCCTCTCTCTCTCTCTCTCTCTCTCTCTCTCTCTCTCTCTCTCTCCCTAGATAATGATAATGGTAAAACAATGATGATGATGATGATGATGATATTGATTTCAATTTCACAAAAAAAAAAATCAATTTTTACAAAATTGAAGTAACAAAAAAACAAAACAAATGTTTATCTCAATTCAAATATTGTTTCCAAATGACTAATCAAACGAACGAATAAAACGATACATTCTAAAGATGAAAAACAAGAAAGAAATTGTTTTGATTTTTTTTCTCATTGAATTACTAGGTTCTGCAAAAAAAAGTAATTTCAATTCAAAATTGTAATTTGATTGCTACATTTACCATTATCATCATCATCATCATCATACATTTATTACCATCTTTTGATTCGTAAAACGTTCTTCGAATTGATTTCATTGATTTTTTTTCGGATTCTCTCTTAATAATAATAATAATAATTTGTAATTTGTAATTGAAAATCCAAAATCATTATTATTTTTTCATTTATTCTTTTTTTCCTGGGCTTTTCCAGAAAATTTCTCTGTTCTTTTGTTATGGTTTCCTTTAGCCAGTTTTTACCATATGGTTATTTACAAATTATATTTGTTACAGAAAAAAAAACACAGAATTACAAATAATTCTTTTGTAAATAACAAGAACAATAACTATTTTTCTATCCCTGAATTTCAACATACAAAACTGGAATATTCTGGCTTCATTCAATCAGTATTTTTTTATTGATCCTTCTGAGATTCTTTCTGAATTTATTAATATGATTCTGTTGCAGAATTCTCTACTCAATTCTGTTTTCTTATCGATTGATTGATTGATGAAATGAAAAGAAACCAAAAGAAAACAACATCGATATTGAGATGCGAATATTTTGAAATTGAAAATAACGAAGGATTAAGAAAAAAAATTAAACCACAAGATTGGATTCATATTTGATTTGATTAATTTCGTGTTGTTCTTGTTTTGTTTTTTTCGGTAATTAATTCCCGAAGAATTCGAATGATATCATGTCATGCCATTCAATATGTGGATGTGTCAAAAATGCGTTTTGACAAAAAAAGATTGGTTGATTGACATTGGAAAGTCGTTTGTTAACCAAAATGAAAAAACTCCAAAACCAAAACGAAAAAAACTGATGAAAATCCTTATTTCCAATGAATTTTTTTCCAAGCTTTTTTTTGTTGAAAATTTTCATTTTCAATTCACAGAATTAAGAACCAAGAGAAAAAAAACGGATGTGTTCAGTGTGTGTGAAAGTATTTGTGTGGTCTACTAGAAACAGACAGTCAAACAAACTAACAAACTTACCAACTAACTAACCAAACAGACATTACGTTGTAAACATTTTGTGTGTTCGTTTACGAAATTCTCGCATCAGTGTGTAAACTTCGTTTAGTTTTTTAGTTTTAGTTTTGTCCAAGGACAATTTCGATTAGTTACTTGGAATTTAGCTTTTTTCTGTTGCCAATTTTCAACAACTATTTTTAAGTAAATCTTGTTGATTATGTAATGTTGTTCAGAGGCCCTCGCAACCATTAATAAAGAGGGAAAACCGAAAATGTTTTTTTAAAAAAGATTCCAGATCAAATCAAATCAATCAATCAATCAATCAAGTACTTTCCTATTTTGGACCTATTTCCTTAATGATCATCAGCCTACATCATGATGGTCACGTTTTTTTT